CTGTCAGATTAAATCTATACTGGACCCAACTATGCAACATCCCCACTATGCCGCGACCCCACTGTGCTGGGTTTTTTAATATTATATATTGTTATTAGTGGTGAAGTCAAATACTGTCAATAGGAAGGTGAAAATCACATTTTATCCACCTTTATTACGCCATTAATTTAATATATCCACTAAAAATTACATGATAATCTGCTGATAGAAGACTAGTCGATGGAACGTCTCTTTTTATTAATTCCGTTGCATTGCAGAATACTTCAAAATTGACCATTTTTAACGAAAATCGAATCATTACCTCATAACTCCTATAAACCTAATTTTTATGTATAGCATCCTCTCCGGCACATAAAAGATAAATATTCCTAATTAATTATTTTTTGTATCGTATCTTTAAACATTTATATTAAATAATCAAGTTTTTCAAATTTAATTTTCTACTTGACAATATATTATAATCTAGATTCAAGCTATTGATAAAACTAATGAACTCTTGAGATTTTAATATTACCAAAAGTTAGAGGTAAATTAAAATCATGTTGATGAAGTACTTTTATTTTAGGCCAGAAAATAAAAACTGTTAAGATAGATATAATATTAGTTAATTAAATAACATATTTACGAGTAAAATTAATTTTTCCAAATTCATTGATATCAGTAGCTTTAAAAAATTTAAATAATTTATACTGGATAAGGATTATGGTGTTTTTAATGAATATTTTGATATAACTTGGAAGCTGTTTGTTTTTTCTCAACAGCACAATTAAAGACAGTCTTACAAAATTGTCTATTTTACTATTTCGTCTTTGCCAACATTCACCTTTTTACATAAACCAATAAAATACCTTTTAATTGTTTCTAGAAATTAATTACACTATTGTTATGTACGACTACAACGTATTGCAGTGTATTGATTAATATTGAATAGGCTGGTATTATGTTTTATAGTATAAATAAGAATTATTGAAAAAAAAAGGGGAAAAACATTCTAAATGTTGATATGTACTCTGTATAACATTAAAAAAAGATAATTTTTTTTACAAAACTACATTTGAATTATGGAAATACTAATGCTATTTTACCAAGAAAAACTAATTTTTCCTAGTAAATTAGTTTTTTTTTCCATTTAATAATTTCATATTTCTCATCAAATTATGTGTTTATCAGATTAAGTAGAGGTTACCTCAAGTTGACACTTGTGTCATCATGTAACAGATGTTTTATAGTCGTGTTTTCAAACTTTTTACNGATTAAGTAGAGGTTACCTCAAGTTGACACTTGTGTCATCATGTAACAGATGTTTTATAGTCGTGTTTTCAAACTTTTTACGAAAGTAAATTTATATATTACTATTGACAAATTTTTCGAAAATAATTTAAATTAACACGTATTTATTTTAAGTAGTAGTTACAACTTAAACATTTTTGCAGAAAANAAATTAACACGTATTTATTTTAAGTAGTAGTTAAAACTTAAACATTTTTGCAAGAACGATATTTTATTGTTGTTTTATTGATTTTGATTTTGAATTGAGCAAACATAAATTTATATATAAATAAATAAAATATTTTTGTTATTACAATAGCTAAAGAAAAAGATTACAAAAAAAATTATTTGAAATTTTATGTCTTATTCAAATTAGGAGAGTATTATGGCAAAATATTTTATAAAACTGATATAAAGAAAGATGTTTTTTCATTTACTGTGTATGAAAAATCTATATCCAGAGTGAGTCATTAGGATATGACAAATCTAATACCTTTTTTACCCTTACTATTTCGTTAAACAATTTTTCTTTTAACAACTATTGACTTCTTGATTTTAAGTTCGATACATATTTTAAACTATTGATCACTAATATAAATAACAAAATGTTATGAATTGCAATTGTGAAATAGCTGTAGTTTTCCTAAAATTATCATGGAACTATCTAAATTTTTTGTAAGAGTTTAAAATAATCTATTTGTTATGGCCACTTATAAAAATATAAATTTTGTTAACATACCATAAGATGTCATGAGGTTGATTTCTTTCCCTTTTATATAATTTTCCAAATTATAAATTAAGCTAAAGTATGTCTACTTGCTCGACACTTTTAGAAAGATGTCGAATTTTAATTGTTTTCTCTATTAAATAAATTTTATAATCTGATGTGATATAATTACTATTTTTGTAGTGAAAAAGAGATGTTTGTTGATGAGTTTGTTTTTCCTTTAGTACTTAATATGCTTCATTGAAAATAAAATATCTGTTCATTCCCGTAAACTTTAGTACTAGAAGGAACTAATTTTTAATATTTGCAATTAGAGAATTCGCACTTACAATTAAGATGTGTCTCAGATCAACAAGAAGCGCGTTGTGTAAGGTACCGCAGTCAAATAAAAGATGTGGAATCTTCAAACAATTATGTAATGATAGCAAGTGGTCATGGATGGTATTGCAGTAATGTATTTTGCAAAACGATATTTAATTGTGTATCATGAATATTGGGGATAAATTGTGTGTAAATTTACAAAACAATGAAAAAATCTATTAAAGTTATTTCTTTAATTAATATTATTTTATAAAGTTTATTAATTGATAAGGTCATTAAACACATTTAAACTGAATCATTAAACATTAAAGACATAAAAAGAGATGCTGGCAATATTTTTCATCATTTATGTTTCAATAATTATATAATTCAGAATTTATGTACCACATTCAATTATTGACGCGGGTGTATTATTTTTAGTTCTTGAGTACCTATAATCGTTTATAACAAACAGAACATGCTTTCATTCGGCCAGTGCTCATATCAATGCAAGTTTAACAAAATTTTTATTAAGTTGTTTTATCCTATTTAATATTATAACTACATTTTTATTAATTTCTATTGCATACTTTCCACAAAGCTCAAAATGATTTCATAATCTAGAGTACAATGTTCATATTTTGGACAAATATCAACTACATCCGACAAAGGTCTGTTCATTATTTCTATATTTTCATATAAAACTTCTTCGTAACTCCAAGGTACTGAACAAACCATTTACTCATGACGAGTCTCCTAGAAAAGGAATGATTTTTAAGCTTTAATACCATAATATTTTTCTAGTACTTTTTAAGAGTTTCTTAGTTCTTACATGTGATTTTATTATTCTCCAGTTACATATTTGAAATAGGGATAATGTTTTTATGTTTAGATTTTGAGTACCTGTAATCTCTTAATAACATACCCTGCGTCATATATTTAGTACACGATTTACAGCACCAGCCATGTCCACTTGGTAAACAAATGTAAATCATTTATGTATTTACATGCATTTATTTAAATGTAAATGATTTTTATCAATCATGTTTATTCTTACAAAAACTAAAAACTATAGCAGACACCTCCGAAGAGAAATTTCATAAAAATGTATAATTATTCACAAAATATATACTTATAGTACAATTTGAAATTTTTATAAATCTATATTTATTAAATAAGCCATAAATTCTAATATCTTGAAATTGATTGAAAAATTTTTACAGAAAAGTGTTTCATTAATTACAAATATTAATATTTTTTATTTTCGTAAAATATTGTTATATAATAAAACGTTAGTATAAAAAAATTTTCTCCTTACTCTTATCTTCATTTTACATTTATAACAATCATAATGTTGATCTAAAGTCAACAGATCCTTAATAATTTCATCATTATATCAATGTGTATTTACTAATTCGATATTGCCCTAATATTCATTTCTACTACATAAGATTCTTTTATAAAGTGTAATTTATCTTCCATTAAATTCATGCTGCTTAATAAATCACTCATGCAATCTTCGTCTACAGTATTAAATTTGTAATTCTTATATTTGTGTTCGTGTTTTTTGTAAACATTTAAATTACATTCATACGGTTTAGAGATATCTATTATTTATTGAATATCGGTACAGGTTGATCAAGATTTTTACTAAATTCCTTCAAGTAATCTGATATTTTAGCAACTTTTTTATTCATATCCATTATAAACTCGTAGAACGGATCAATGCATGTAAAGCTCACACTTTCAATGAAGTTCAAAGTGATCGCATTACCTAAAATATAAAGATTATTCTTTACACGTGTATAAATCACATTCTTCAAAATTCCATTTTCCATTATTATACCTTCATAAGAAATTTCTTCATAATTTATTGCGTGACTCACATAAGTACTGGACTAAACTTTATCCCATTGTTTTATTTTATATAATAAGGATGATCTTGAAGTATGACATACATAGTTTTTGGGTATTCCATTTGAAGAGTTTGTACGTCCTGACGCTTGATATTTTAGTTTCGATGCGAAGCTGAAAATTTTATATCACAAATCGATTGGTTAATTGCTTGAATAAAGATAGTATTCATTTCATTTTACTGAGTAACATATTATTATTTTATAAGAGTTTTTAAAAGATCCTTAAATTTCATTACAGTTATTCTACTAAAATTTAGTAGTATTTAAATAAAATATATAGAAATTAAATAATTTTGAATATTAAGAATTATTGTACGAGAGTATTTATAAGTAGTAGTCACAAATGTGTATTAAATAGCTGGTTAAAAATAAACTTTTATTATGTAGTTGAATAATATAGAACAATTTTAATTTAAAATATAATTTATCAATTATTTATATATGTAAATGTACGGATTTTCTTATTTGAAATAATTGATGAAATAAAGCATATGTTTACTGTATTTGAAATAAAAAAACTATAATACTTATAAATCTATTTTGAAGAGTATAATTTAATTTAACATGTGATATTGTATTAATTTTAAATTGAAAAAAATATATGAATTTTATCCGTTCAACATTAATAAATGAATAGATTTANATCCCGTTTAACATTAATAAATGAATAGATTTATAACTTAATCGGGGAAGAATGGAACAAGTTGTAACGCATCTTAATAGCATAATACATGCATAGTAAATCATTTATGTTTTATAAAATGTTTTTATGTTTACACTGTAAACCGGACCGNTATAACTTAATCGGGGAAGAATGGAACAAGTTGTAACGCATCTTAATAGCATAATACATGCATAGTAAATCATTTATGTTTTAAAAATGTTTTTATGTTTACACTGTAAACCGGACCGTTACACACACGCGTTATCGTCGTGGTGTAAAGTCCAATAAATGCCTAGCGTCGAATACCCCGCCGCAATAATACGTGAAGTTAGTCATCTACGTGAAACCGTCCTACACGCATCGCAAGGAAAAAACGCCGAAAACCATAGCACCGTTTCTTTTCTTTTTGGTTTCTTAACGTCAACGCATCTGTTGCTATATTTCTTTTTTTTTTCTTATTGTTCAATTGTCTTAGTGACTGTGCACGTCACTTTATATAACTTTTGTATTATCTTGCCGAAATAAACGGCACCACACCAGTTTTGAAATTAATTTGTGTCGACTACTTTTGTTCACTATCCGTTTGCCCTTAACAGTATTTATTACATGTTTCGTTCGTATTTGTTCCGTATCATCGAGTAGTGGAAATTCTCAATAGATTATTTATTTTTAAAACTTAATTGCACAGACGGTGGCAGATCCACATTATCCCAATTCCACAATATTATATCGATTATAACATTGCATTTACGATAAAACGATATTTTGAAAAAAAAACCAGTCCAAAAAAAAATTACAACGTTTATAGTCGCGTGGGGGTCAATATGAACCATTTCAACTTTGATGGATATTTTAAGTCATATATTTTTTTTTCGAAGGTATTTATTTATGAAAATCTATTCAATATTACTATAAAAACCATCTTCTAAATTTATATCTATGTACACCTTTATGCAATATAATACATCCGTTTTTATTTATGTGGCGGTATGCTAGACCCCCACACGACTGTTTAAGGGTAAAATATAAAGTTACATTAGCTATAATGCGAAGCTAAAGCGGTATTTTTTTTACCATGAAGTGGTTTTTCTTAATTAACAAAGTAAACCACTGTTATTCTATTTTGTCAAAGAAAAAAAAAAGTACAATAAAATGGAGTTTTTAACCGTTTTTAGATTTGTGTTGTTTGAATTTTGATCGTGATCAAAATCACTGTCATTTAATTTTTATCCTGTCTTGTGTTATAAAATTACGGCTTTCATTTTAAAACCATATAATTAGCCTTAGATATAAGTTTTCCCGTTGTATCAATCGAATACATTGATTATAAAGAACAGATTTATGATTTTAGTCACTGCGACTATAATTATAATTATAGTCGCAGTGTTATACTAATTATAGATCTAATATAATTATATTAGAACACGTATAACTACAGTCGATTGGAATGACACTTTCAAAAATTTATGTTTAAATCCATAAACCGTATAATATCCATAAATAAACTATACTTCAATACCGATAAATGTAAAATTATGACATACTCAAGAAAACGTATTTTGTTTTGACCCTACCTTATAGTTCAGTGATCATTATGCATACATCATAAACAAATCATCTTCTATGTTAGGTTTTGTGAGTATAACTTGTTCTGATTTCAACAATCCTATTGTTATAAGATCTCTGCATTGTTCATTTGTTCGTTCTATACTGGACTATAACTCTGTCGTTTGGTCTCCTTACATGTCTGGTCTCACCGATGATATTGAAGTAATTCAAAATCGCTTCCTGGGGTTTTTAGCATCTAAATGCTGTTTCAATCGCCAGCGACACACATCTTATTCGCTATTACTAACACTAACCAATTTAGAAACTTTACATGCAAGGAGAATCAGATTCGATCTTTGTTTCACTTTTAAGTTATTAAATGGTATCATAAATTGTTCTGAATTACTGGTTAAATTAAATTTTTTAGTACCCGCTTTTCATACCAAAAACTTATATACATTTTATGCGCCATTCCATTGTACTAACTTTGCTAAAAATGACCCCATTACTAGATTAATGTAAACAAATTGAACGTTGATTTGTTCATTTGTAACAATATATTCACTTTTAATGTATACTTTAAAAACAAAGTAAATATTAGTTAATAATTATTGTACGTATTGTAATTTTATTCTGTTCTACCCATTTATATTGTATATTTATGTATTTATATTGTAATTTAAGTCGTTATTAACGTTGTATAAAAATGATTTGTATATTATCCATGTGTATTAATTTATATATATCATATTTTATGTTTACTTAACATTAAACGATAACACTACAAGAATGACACAATGCTGATTGTTTGAGGATAAAAAAATAGTATAAAAGGCAGAGTAATACTTCTCAGTCAGGGCTGAGGGCTTGAGGGAGCCTGTCTCCAGATATATAATCTTAAAACTCAATTATTTAGAATTAATAATCCGAGTATAAAACGATAAAGCAATAGATCAAATAATTATATGAATCTTTAAACTAAAATTAATTATTATTAACTAGTTCGCACCTTATACATAATCACATTATATAGTATTCGTGAGATGGCCACCACCTCTTCGTTGCCTCAGTGTATTATTACAGGTAATTACTAGTTGGGGCATTTATAATATCTCTATATGAGGAACCTTAATTATTACTTTTTATATCTACTTGTCTTTATTGTTCTTAACCCTCGGACTCTACAACCCCGACACAACCTCGTTGCTTACCAATTGACCAAGTCCTCAAACATACATAAACTTGGTCTATATACACAATGCAAATATACATTCCTTTTTTTATCGTAATTTTTTGTATTATTACATTTTCTATAAATAAATAAATGATAAATTAAATAAGCTATAATATGATTTAATTTTGAATAGTGTAGATGTTCCATTGCTATGTAACATAGTTCAAAATTTGCTATCTTTATAGAAAACTGTATATTAAAATATATTACTATGTTTGTCATTTTACATTTTTATTTGTAGATACCTAAATAAATTGGTAATTGTTATTATTTTTTTCTCAGCTTGTTTCGGTCATAGTATAATATTTAAAAATACTTTGCTTTTATTTTTATAATAGATTAAAATTTTGATACTGAATTTGTGATGATTTATATAATATTAATTTCTAATTGATTTTTAATTAAATAACAAAAATTATAGATAGGTACTAATATATTCCATTACTGAGATAATTTTCTTTTACTAAGTAAATATATTTGCTCATTATGGTCAATATCATTTTTAGCCTTGAGGGTAGACAAAAAATATTGATATAAAAAATATATGTCAAACTAAATTAAAGGCAAAGATTTTCCTTTTTTTTTTATTTTTATTATTATAGTTTTTTTTTTACACTAGTACTGTGACAAGCAGCCCCTTAATATTAAAGGGGAATGGTCTATTACTGTGCGGTGGTGTTGTTTATTTTGTAGAAATCAAAATGTGGAAATAAGAGGGGGTGATAAATAGGTACACCTGCTTATGAATGTATAAATTATGAACTATATATTTGTGGTTCTGCAAGTAAAGCTCTTAATAGTAAAGGGGAGAGGGGGGATAACTTACATACTACAAACAATATTTAATCTTATGATATGATAAAATAACAAAATGATAATAAATTAATAGCATATCTGATGACTTGTGGAGATCGGAGAGAGTGGCAAAGTAAATCACAATGAACGTAAAATAATAATATACAAACTCAAAAAAGAGCGATTAATAATTACACGGTGCCGATGATAAGAGGTGCGAGACATGTGTACTGTTGACGTACAAAAAACGTTGTGTCGCTTTGCTGAGGAAGGAACGACGGCCGGACGTGGCATAAACACGTTCGAACCGGTCTTACACGTGCCACACTCTACCCAACAAGTACTACGTTGAGATACTTTTGACTTTGAACGAGTAGCTGGAATAGGAATTAGGATGGATTTAGAATGAGTCGATGGTTTATAATCGCTAACATTTGAATAACTATTACTTGATTCACAACTCATTTATCACGCATGAGTTAGAATTTCTTGTAAGTGAATAATATCACTTACAATCAGTAACTTTATTATACATAATATATAAACTAATAGATATTCAATATATCAATACATTATTAACATTAGAATAATAATCGTAAAAAACAACCAAAACAAAACATCACTCAGTCATCAGTCATCCATAGTGCAATTTAACGTTGAATTGATTGCCAAACGCTTCCCAAATAATTATTCCTTTTGCGTATGGAATGTCAACCTCCGCTGCTTTATTTCAGTTGTGCACTCGCGTAATGGATGATATAAACTGTTGGTTGTCGCCTAAACAGGCCAATACCATCCAAAAAAACAATAGAATAAAATTAAAAAACGCCAGCTCACTGGCCACGAGTCATCAGACCCAAAAGATGCGGTATGACTTCAACCGCGTACACAGACGTAATGTCGGCAAGATGCCAGTAGTGCCGGACACGATTGTTGTCATTATAATGAGAGGGGTAATGTCATTTCGAGCTATGTGGAACTTGACCGGCTACACATATAACTTTTGAACATCCTCCCCCTTGGAAGACGACCACGTCTTACAATTGAAGCTGGGATAGTTGATTTACAGAGCACTCGAGAGCTTGATGGCATGGGTGGACAATTTATAACAGCTAATTACAACAATATGAAAGTATAAAAGAATCTGTATTAAAAAACACGATCAATAATGATAACAAATGTATAAATATAAAAATAAATAAACAACCACCAATAAACTTTGGTCATATTAGACCAATAACTTAAGTGCAACAAAAAAAATGTAAACAAATCCATATTTTAAGATAAAACATTTTTTTTTTTTAATTACAAGTGCAGGAAGCTACCGATCACATCCTTTATTATAATAAAAAACCTAACTAATTAATACATATTTTCTCTCCCCCGTGATTTTCCCCTCCTTTTTTTTTTAATGGACATGATGCAATATCTAAACATAACGTATAAATATAATAATAATCAATACAATATACATAATAATAGAATAATATTTACGAAGTAGGTAATTTGACTATTTTAACTACGGGCCGCATTAACGTTCCATCGCTAATACGAAGACGTACGACACGAACTACCCCATCCGATCGTGGAATGACCTCTTGTACTCTAGCATTACGCCATTATAAGGGGGGTAACTGCGAATTGTTGATGAAGACTACGTCATTGACGTTGATGTTAGGCACATTTTTTGTCCAAAGGTTGCGGGTTTGTAGAGTCTGTAAATAATCGTCTCTCCAGCGCATAACGGTACGGTATAACTTCAACTGCGCACACAGACGTAATACCGGCAAAATGCCAGTAGTCATTACATTGAGAGGGGTAATTTCGAGCTATGTGGAACTTGACCGGCTACACATATAACTTTTGTACAGTTTGAATAATAATTTTTTATGTGGAGCTGTTATATTATATAATCACTAATAATATTAACATCAGTGCTCGAATTGGGGGGGGGGGGCGCAGGGGGACGTAGCTCCTCTACTTTTTTTTAAATTTTTTTGCGCACCCCAACTACTTTTTTTTATTGGGACGGGAGGACGGTGGAAAATACTACCTTTTTTTTTTTTTTAAATATTAGTATGATCATGAAATATGATTTATTAATAAATACTAAATAAAGTAATGAGTAAAAAAAAAAAAAAGTCTTCAAAATGCTAGGGACGCAGTTTTCAAATTGTTAAGTTGAGATCCCCTACTTATTTTTGGCCAATTCGAGCACTGATTAACATATAATATGATGTTATCGTTTGTATATGCATGTCACATATTATAAATATACAAGATCACCAAAATAAGGTTCTGTTGTGCGGGCCCACGTGGTAAAGGAATTAAAATTAATAAAAAAAACGAAAACACTCCTTTTCAATAAAAATATATAATATATAATTTGATTGATCAGTAAATTATACAATACAACGTTAATTATTAATATTAATACAAATGAATAGAATAATGAAATAGAATGATGTAGAATGAGTGTAACTAGCGCATACTAAACCACGATTGACTGTAGGGTACCTATAGTGGGAGTCCTTTGCTCATGATTGCCCTAAATCCCTCGGTCAGCACATTCCTGTGTTCGATGACAGTCGGACGTCCATGTATTCTATACTCTACGCAATTATAAAATAATATTCAAAGGGCTTTTAACAGTTCTATTCTTTTTAAATACAAAAAAACCTGCTAATTGTGTTTATTTGTCTTTATTTGATAATGGAAATAAATGTCAATTAATATTTTAAACATTAAATTTTAAATTATTTTAATAATAAATCCAACTCAACTTTAAAATTTTATTTGATAGTAAAAATTTATTTTCGAACATTTCTTATTGGACAGTTGGTTTTAGAGCTTAATTTCATTGTTTTAACGAACATGTTAAGCGCCCCGGTAGACAACGCGAAGAAACTTACGGAAATATTTTTAGTGTTTAGATTTCACACCCATGTACGTCATAGAAGTATGTCAATATTATAATTTATAAATATGAAAAATGTGCAAGATAAAATGATATTATTCAGAAACTATACTTTTAAAGTAAAAATTTAGTGACAAAAATATGACACGTAATCAAAAAATTATGGTGAAATTTTTAATTTTTTTTTCAATATTTTTTCCAAAATTATGTGTAGAAGCTATAAATCATTACCAGATCAAGGAAAACATAGAAATATTAAGTAAATTCTTTAATAACTCCGAATGGCAGAATTTTAAAGACATTAAAACAGTAAAATACTTACAAAAAGTATGTACATTAGATAAATTTAACAAAACGCCCATAAATATAATAAATGGTAATAATCATATACGTGCTGCAACTTTGATTCTTGCATGTTCATATGGTAATATTTTAAAGAAAATCTTTTCAATCATCGAAAAATTTATTCAGCATTGTATAGAATCTTTTAAGAAAAAAGATAATGACCCAGAAATCTCTAACCAAACCTATGGGTACTTTTGTACTGACACTTTTTTAGACACTATATATAATTTAATTCCAATAACATCGAAAATGAAAAATGCCATGAACGCTATTGAAAGCTTTCATTTTAACCCATGGTATACAAAGAAGCGTTGTGCACGTTATATTTTGAGTAATACTTTTCAATGTTTAAAAGAAATACCAAAAATTTTTAAAAAGTCATCAATATCACAAAATAATCCGATATCTAATGAACTAATATTAAACCTCTGTAACGAGTATTTTACAGGAAGAATAAAGGAAGTCGATACAGACATAATTCATTTTTGTGGTGTAGAACCAGAAAATTTGAATTTAACATGGGAAAATTTATTAANTTTGTGGTGTAGAACCAGAAAATTTGAATTTAACATGGGACAATTTATTAGAAAAATTTAATAATAATCCATTGAAAAATACACCAAAGAACTATTTTTATAATTTCCTTCACGAAGAGATTAATGAAATTATTAAATCGTCTATTGAAGAAAAATATGATAAATTAGGATTCATTTACCATCAAGAAACTAATCAGATGTTAATACCAAATCCGGATAAAGTAATTTTGAGTAATAGTATAAAGTTCCCACACCGTAGAGTAGAATCCTTACCATAATAACGACTAAACTAGCTCTTACATAAAGAAGATCATATTCATCATTTTTATTTGTATCATTAATAATCCTTCTATTATTGTCAATAAGTTAAACGTATTTAATTAAAGTATTAATTTAGTAATTCTAATTAAGTTAAACAAGAGTAATTATATTTTTTTATTCTTTTGTATAATATACAAGATGTTAGAGATCTTGTAAGACACTTACTTTTTCAGAAATTATTGACAAATTTAAATTAAACCTGAAAAATGTTTAAATTATTTTATTTTTATAATAAACCCAATTCAAACTTCAATGTTCAATTAATGGTAAATATTCATTGTGAGCTTTTTACTAGGTAGCTAGTTTTAGGGCTCTATGTTTTTGTTCTAACAAACATTGCGCTGGTGGACAAAGCTAAAGGTTACAAATTTTTTCAAATCAAACAGAAATTTAAATCAATTTAATAATAAATTTATTGGACTAAGTGCAATTCATTTCTATACTTATTGGGTAGCTTATTTTTGAGTTTAATGATAGTTTGAACAAATATAGCCTCGGCGGACAGTGTAAAGAAACTTACGAATATACTTTTAGTGTTTAATTTTTGTCTTGGTAATTATTGAGCCGTATCCTTTGAAGGTGTAAGTGCTGGGATACATTGAGACACTACTTGTTGCGCCATGACACTCCTAAATTAACGGTTGGCGTCAATAGCTAATAAGGATCATGTGGACCGATAATACTTAACCTAAAATAAAGTACAACCTTTAAATGATTAATTTATATATTTAAAACGCAATTGTCGCCTTATGAGCTAAGGGATACAACAAATACTCTCTCTGGTGTTTGGATACTACTTGATGTTTAGCTGAGCTGCCTCTTTATGGATCACATGAGCTGTACATTGACTTGGTTATCTGAGCTGATATTCTCCATTTCATTGAATCCTCTGCATAGGACAGCAGTACTTTAAAACAGTAGAATAGTGTCTACATTGTTCATAGCAACAATGTGGGCTTTATTTGAGAGCACAATTATGAACAGAGCACTGTATGAGCTTACATAATAACCATCTACGGTGTGTAGAAGTACGTAGAGCAATGCATTAGCTTGCAGGTTAGAGAGAACACTCACATATTTAAAAACCACAGAAACGTTAAATTGTACTGACAACAGCAACAGCAGCTGATAACAACGGTACAAGTGGGTATTGCACCATATCCAGTATTACCAACTAAAGGTTAACATATACTAAATTGATAACTCTTTTATGGGGTTCAACATAGATTAAATACACATAGATAGGCCACGGCATTCGGACAATTGGCAACCGATTTTTTGTTAATTTATAAACGTAAAGATAGCGCTATATATCCTCTCGGAAATAATAAATATTTAATAATAACTGTCCAGTTTGCTGATATTCAAGTAATAGTCACGATTATTGATGTACGGCTAACACCGTTAGCGCAAATTAAGATAAGAACCAGTTATTACTAAAGGCGATCGCTTATTTGATTTAGTATTGATAACTCTTTTATGGGGTTCAAACATACTCCCTCTTGGAAGTCCCAGTTAGAGTTACAACAGTATTTGAGCTTGGACCATGATTCACTAGTAGAGACAGTAGAGGTTGTTGAGAAGTCTTCACACACCAGATGAGAGTTTCAGGGGGGGAATACAAACATTATATAATATTTAAGACTGCAACATACAAAAAAACAATATTAAAAAAATAATAATAGGAACAATTTAATATTTCAACATTTTATCTTATAGGAACTTAAGTTACATATTAGACTCTGTATTTTCACAAACAATTAACATCAACATAATTAATAAATAAACTGGATAACAACCAAAATATAGGTAACAATTTAAATAATTAGTATACAATTCAATCTAGCAAATAAAATCATATATCATAAATACTTAACAAAGTAGCTATATAAAAAATAATGACCTAAATAACAATTTATTAAACATATCAGACTATTAAGACTAACCATTATGTAGTAGCATCACGCAATGGTAGCTCTTATAAATTTCTCTCTATTGTAGTAAGTAAAAAAAATCAATAAATCAATTAATAAGTTTCCTTTGTAAAGTGTAAGGCACAAGGAAAAAAAAGGAATATCTAAGAATAATTAGGACTATACAGAGTAAGTATTTAACTAGGAGCTTAGTTAAATATAAAGCAAATGATCTTATAAACATTTTTTTTCTTTTTAATGCTAATTATGCTAAATCAAAATTAAAATAATGATTTCGAATTTAATTGGTAGGTAATAAAACTAATTTAACTACTGGCCTAACAATTACTCCCTGCTTGGTGAGCACCCTGACAACGCGTACCACACCATCACTTCCAGGTAGTAGCTCACTTATACGACCCAATCTCCATTTTAAAGGGGGCAAGCTGTTATCCTTCAGTACCACCATTGCACCCAATTTAACATTTTCTTGAGATTTTAACCAACATCCACGAGCTTGGAGTGTACTCAAATATTCAGAGGACCATCTTTTCCAGAAAGATTGAAATGTTTGTTGTAAGAGCTTCCAACGGTTTCTCAGATCAACCGGACTATTCAACACTGACTCCTCACTTTGTGGGAACACACTTTANTACTCCTCGCTTTGTGGGAACACACTTTATAGCACTTATATCATAAGTAAAGCAATCGGTATCAGGTATCCATTCCATGCCTAAAACATGAATTCCATCGCCACGATCAAAAGCCAGAGGATTGCATGCACAATCTTTATCTAATAAGTCATCCAAGAGGTCCACACAATTACTTGACCACTTCTTAAGTGAGAGACCAGCTCTTGCCAACACTTCTATTAAATTATTTCTTAAAATTTTAGCAGCTACAATTGATTCTGCACCAGCACAGATATCATCCATATATGTTTGATAACGCAAAGTTTGTTGAACTGCAGGAAAATCATCACACTCATTGTCAGCAATATGTTGTAATACTCTTAGAGCTAAATATGGAGCATAATTTACACCACAGGTAACAGTGTGAAGTGTATATTCCTTTACCTGTTCATGGGCATAATCCCTCCACAAAATGTGCTGATAACCATGGTGTATTTATCATGAAGCCATATTTGCCTATACATTTTGCAAATGTCAGTGGTAAAAACAAATTTATGAACCTTAAACCCAGTTAACACATCTATGATTTCTTGCTGAAGTTTAGGTCCTACATACAACCTATCATTAAGTGAATATCCAGCCTGACATTTTGCAGATGCATCAAAAACCACTCTTAATTTTAGCTCGTCACCTACTAACTTATGAATTGCATGATGAGGGATAAAATAATCACCGGACTCTTCTGAACGTGACATGTGACCTAACTCTTCATATTCTCTAATGAATGCTCTATAAGCATTGTGCAGTATTGGGTCGCGCAAGAGCTTGCGTTCTAGTTGATAAAATCGTCGCAGAGCAACTTCATGCATACCAGGGAACAATCTATCCGAGCTGTCAGAGCGAAAAGGTAAAGGAACAAAATATTGACCTGCATAATTTCTGTACATCTCTGAATTAAAAATAGTTTCACACTGCCCATCTTCAGTGAAATCAAGAGGAGCTGCTGCTGGTTCTTCAATATTCCAGAATCTTTCCATTAATGACTCAATAGAAGTAGATAATGTAACGGCTAATGATTGAGGGAAAATTTCTAATGATTGCTGAACAGGACCAATTAGGACCTATCCGAATACCGAGCTGTAAGCGGATGGTAGACCAGGCCCTAACTGAATATTATCATTATTCCATATCTGTGGGAATATATCTGCACCTAAAAGTAGATCAACAGGAGCTGGTGTATCAAATGATGGGTCGGCCAGAGATAAGTGTTTACATTCAGCCCGAACTTGAGATGGTAACTGTTGAGATGGCATATTTGTAGTTATTGAGCTAATAACCTAAGCTTTAACTTTAATTTTAGGAGACGGTATATCTTTTGGTCCAATAAGTACTTCTACAGAACCACTTATATCTGGAATCTTTTGGCTAGATAAACCAGTAACAGGAATAGTCCAACGAGATGGCCGAAAGCCGAGTTTGTTACAACAATTTAATGTAAGAGCGGTGATCTGAGAGCCAGGATCAATTAAAGCTCGAATTAAGTGATTATTACCGGCTATGTCTCGAACACAAATTATGGCAGTACCTAATAGTATAGAAGGTATTTGAAGTCTTCCTAACATGGCCGTTTGGGATGGTCTAGCAACTGGTTGTGACCGAGGCTGGTCTCTGTGTAAAAAAGCATGATGGCGACGGGAACAGATCGAGCATGCTGATGGACATTTATACGACATATGACCCTCAAAAAACAGACAAGGCACAATCTATGTTTACAAGCAATATCATACTGTTCATCAATAGACAGCTTATTAAATTGTGGACAATCTTGAAGAACATGGTAAGCTGAGCAGCAAAAACATTTACCCGAGCTGGCTGATTTTGTTTAAGGAGTCGCTGACCCTTAGCAANACCTGAGCTGGCTGGTTTTTGTATAGGGAGTCGCTGACCCTTAGCAGTTGAAAGGAAAGCAACACGTTTCTCATGCTGTGACTGGTAATTCGGTTTTTGAGCAAAATTACCAACTGGTTTTTTAGAGACCCCTGAATTAGAAGGGGCTATTCCGGAATTTTGATTCAATTTTTAACAAATTTAATAATATCCTGAACCACTGGATAATCTAGACTATTTTCTGCTTCAAATAACCGTTTACTAAGAGTAGGTAAACACCAAGCTGCAATAGAAAATAGAAANTATGAGTAGGTAAACACCGAGCTGCAATAGAAAATAGAAGAAATGAACCGAGATCTGGTATCCTCATGGACAATAGTGTAGCAATACCTTCATCAAATGTATGAATAAACTGTCTAAGGCTAGCAACATTTTCTGAAGTGCCAATAGAGGCTTTTAACATATTTTCAATAATGCTAGCAGCTAGTTGCCTAGGTTTATCATATTGATCAACTAATGTAGACCAAGCAATAGCATAAGTTTCATCTGATACAGTAATCCCTTTTAACAATTCAGAGGGATCCCCTTGAAGACAGCTTAACAAATAATAGAATTTGTCAACATTTGAGAGTGTAGGTCGCTTATCGACTAAGGACTTGAAACGGTCATGAAAATCCGGCCAATTGCGTAGTTCGCCATCAAATTTTGGTAAAGGCATATTGGGCAATTGAGAATTGCATGCAACTATTTCAGAACCAGCATTAGTGGACATTGTAGAAAGCACATCCAAGACAGGGGGTTGCACAGGAAGTTCAACAGATGATTGGTCTAATAAGTTTGCAGAAAGCACAGGAACACATGTTGAATCAGCTTTAAGGGCAATAGCTTTAATTTCAATAATTTCTCTATGCACAGCCAATTATGTGTTATGAGAAAATTCATCAATCTCCCCCAAGTCTATCATAGCATCCAACAATGCATCATTTTCAATAGAAAAGGACTTCCACCAATAGTCTAGATCACCTATAGCTACCTTTAAATGTCTGTATTGATCAAGGTCTTCTTTTACACCCACAGCCAAATTATAAATGCAGTGAATATGAGCAGCAGCAGCATCTCTTTTAGCTGTGGCACGTTGCTTAGCTCTTAAGTCTCTTTTATCATCAGCCATGATAAATAATAAAATGTGAAAAAATAAAAATTTATAAAATAATAAACCACTAAGAGAAATCTAGATGATTATAAACCAATAAAGACTATATAGACAAGTAGAACCAACTAAAATTACTTAAATCTCTTAAGTGATTAAACAATCACATTAAAAAGGAAAAGAACCAAAGACAAAAACTAACCAATAAAGGCAAAACCAACAAAATATTCAACCAATAAAAACCAAACTGATTAATCAAATCAAACAAATTATAATGACCAAATAATATAAAATGGCTCAAGAGTGATCCAACAATAAATTGTACGAGCAACGCTCAAAGCACTCACCAAGCAAAACACGTTTCTTTAAACCATAAACTTAACTAAATTAAATCATAAAGTTAACATATAAATAAATAATAACCGTAATTAATACTTCACTGTTCAATTAAAATTAATAATAAAAAAGCATATGTATGCTCCCCTTATAATAAGAGTCAAAAAGTTAACACCCCAAACCTTTTAAGGTTAAGTTTCAATTTAAAGAGCTAACCCAAAAATTTAATATATTTTTTATAACTGTAGAGCAACAAAATAAAAAGGAGCTTTATTGAGCATTAAAGGATAGAATAAATATAACAAAGATATTACCTTACACTTTGTAGAATTAAAGAATCCGTCAAAAAAAATATAAGCACGTTCTGCTACCACTGTTGCGCCATGACACTCCTAAATTAACGGTTGGCGTCAATAGCTAATAAAGATCATGTGGACCGATAATACTTAACCTAAAATAAAGTACAACCTTTAAATGATTAATTTATATATTTAAAACGCAATTGT